TATAATAATAATAAGTTTATTGTCAATTATAATCGATTATACATAGTAATCTAAATAAATTATTCTTCAAATTATGATTAGATAAGTTTATTTAGATTAGTTAAAATTTGGCGTGTTCATTATTGTTATATCTCTCGTTCAACTTTTTAACCAGAGCTATCTCGAGGGAGTTCTATCCATTCACTATATTTGTTACAATATTTCAGTCGGCCATTTTAGAACATAAAATTCTTTTGGAAAAGACGTTTGAAAAAAGGTCACAAGAAGGTCAACAAAAAAAAAAAAAAATACAAACGACAATTTCATCTTATCCATTGTTATTTGTTTTTATCTCCAGGTCCTCTCTGTTTGGGCCAGTATACATTTTTATCATATGATTATTTTGATCTCAAATTTATTTATTTGTTTTTAGATAAGCTTCCATTAAAATACATAATTAAAAAGTTCTAAGTAGCAGTTCATTTTGCAAAATAATTTAATGTATAAAATCATACTCAAGTACTTTATCCTTTTGTTGACACACATCCGGCGAAGAATAAAATAATTTAAGTTTTCATTATAAATTTAACTTAAGAAAAAAATTTCTTGAATGTTATCATATCATCTAATCATTATGTACAACCTTAATATTTTCTATTCGTACTTTTATTGTCTATATATTCTTTTTTTTTAAAGAAAATATAGTTTAAAAGTTCAACAACGCAGATGTATAAAAGATGTATACAAAAAGCTTTGGGTTTTATTTCTGTAGAGGTAATTCAACTTTGAGTTATCATCGCCATCTCCTTAGCCTCTATCTCGACTATTTGGGGTCGGCTCTACCTTAATAATTTGATAGAATTTTACACTGATAATTTAACTATGAGTGAATTAAAATATTAAATAATAAATATTTTTTAAGTGATTTGTCCTTGAAACAAGAAAACTTGACTTTTTGGTCGACTTTTCAATATTTATTCAAAAGAAAACATTTTATTGGTAATTACTACTTTAAACGAGATATTCGCCATTCTATTTGTATTCGAAAGCATCGCGTGTACAATTTCTGAACATTAGTGTGACATTCATTTATTTGTTACACGTGAAACATCAGAAAGTAATCACGTGCGTGATAAGTTTTCTAGAACTGTGTGGTCCCTGATGAAACACCAGAGGAAAAAACTCGGTCATGAAATTGATACATTTTCATTGAAAATGAACAACTCGAGTAACTCAATATCTCTCAGCAAGTACGATGTACCTACGCCCGGCTGCTGCTCTTACAAGACCTCGTTCAAAGGAGTATTTAATTACTTGTATTTTGTGTGTATAGTGTTCAATACACAGTCCATCACAAACTAGCGTTTTGTCTACTAACGTTTTAAAAAAAACAATTAATACTCTTANACAAAATTAAAAATAAATATATCAATAAAATGCCATTCACCTGCTCACAGTGGCATATTTAAATATTTTTAAGAGGAATTCAGATAACTATTAGAACGTATAATAAAGGAAATAACACCTCCATTACCATTATATTATGTCCAGGAATAATAGATTTCAGCGTAAATACGCCACTGCTTATACATACTTTTTTTTACAGATTTGCAAGAAATAAAATTTTTTCCTAAAATATAAAAAAATTAAAAGTGTCAGAGTTTAATATCTGTGGGAGTGTTATATCTGTGTATAACACAATCATAATCATTATTATCAGCTTAAAGGTTCATCCAGACCTGCGCTACCACAAGCATTTTCATTTTTCTTTGTCCAAATTCAAATATTGTTGGACTGGACTTTTATTGGCATTCCTATCTATCAGGTATATCCCATCTTTCCGTATCATATTCTTTTCTACAATGTCTTTCTATCTTGTTTTTGGTATTCAAAGTGGACATTTTTTATTTACTTTTCCTGGCAGAAAATTCTTTAATACATCTCCATCAGCTCTCCATAAACAACATAAATTAATGTAAAAAATAATAACAATGTACGATGAATTAATAAAGATACATCGTTCGAAAACTCTAATACTAAAAAAAAAAAAAATTATGCTGAAATTTCTGTTTCTGTTAAGATTACAGTTTTTAAAGATTTATTTTTAGCTCTTATATGGGTTTTGGTATTGTAATTTTCAAAGAGATTCGGATTCAAAGCCAGTTATTTTAGATTAAGATTCTCAACCCTGATAAGTTTATTTAGTTATTTATTTCATTACCAAGAACACCAATCAAGTTATAAGATTAAATAAATAATTAAATAAACTTATAATTATTCATTACCATTTAATAAATTTTTATAAAAAGTTCTCTTATTTAAAAAAATTATGATTTTATTATTAGTTTCAATACATTTTTTAAATAAAGGTCAAGGATTTACAAAATACGTTGTCGTTAAAGGTAACACTTACGATATGTTATTTAAATTTTAGTCACGCGACTCTCGTACAGTCGTTTTTTATTGGTAACTAAACTTTATTATGCATATCAACTTAAAAAATGAAAATATCTAATCAATTCTCTAAATCATTTTATGTTTTATAATTTATTTTAAACATTTAGTGGACCATTGTTCAATAATTAAAGAATACAATGATAATAAATAAGATTTAATATAAAATAGTAAATAATTATAAGTTAAAAAATAACAATAATAGTAAATAATAAATAAAATTATATTTAATTACACTCATAGTAAAATTAAATAAATTACATCATTTTAAAGTTAATAGGACATAAAACTTAAAAATATCTCGTTTGAAAATGAATAAATCTGAAGAAAAAGGGACTATATTAGTTAATTTAGGAGCAATAAGAAAAAAAAGACATTTCTTTTTAAATTTGGCCCTAATTATTACATCTAGAATAAAAAAACCGAAATTTTATATCTTTAAAAGATTATAAATTATAACAGTCAATGGATATATTTATTAAGTTATAAATAAATATAATATCAAATACTTGGCTTCTAAATTTAAGCGAGTCTAAGATTAAAATTAAAGAAAATATGATATTTTTGCATTTTTAATATGTATTAATAATATTTTTAGTATGCAGGGCTATATTAAGATCAATACATAAGTAATATTATAAAAAAATTTTTATTATATAAATATAACATTTTTTTATTATAATGACGTTATTAAACATCATAAAAAAATTTTATCAGGGTTATATACTTATGTATACAGAGTGTTCAGTAAGTCAGGAAACGGGTTTCTATTGTTCTCATTATTTGTAACAATGAGAACAATAGAAACCCGTTTCCTGATTTATTGAACACTCTGTATATACTCGACATAACATTTAAAATTATTCAGAGGAAGAAGACCATTTTCACTTCTGGTAAAAAATATATTCAATCTATCTTGGAGAAATCATTAAATAGATTACAATTGTATAATATACTTTAACATTACCAGCAAATAAAAGTAATTTTGCAAGATTTTGAAATATGTGAGGCAAGTAATTATAGAAATTAAAAACAATATAGAACTTTGAGGTACTCTAGAACAAGTTAAAACTTTATCAAGCATATGAAATAAAGGTTTTATAGTTGGTAAACGACCAGAAAGAGGTGGATTCATTTTAAGAATAGACCATCAATACTGTATAGATGTACAATATAGGTTTTAATAAAACCTCAGTAAAGTCAACAAATTTGTTGTTAATATAGAGACGAATATAATTTTTTGTTAGTTCAATAAATAATTTGTCAAGTAAATAAATATTTTGTTCCATTAACAAAAATATGATTGATTTAACAATAAAAAATTGTCGACTGTGGTTTTTTCAAGGTACATTTAAATATTCTGTTCCGGAGAAAAAAGGTTTGTATCAATTTGTTTAATTTTTCTATTATAAAAGTTATAAAATAAACACATAATGTAAGAATTTTTCTATACATTTTATTTATTACTTGTAGATTGTTAGACTCACTTAGGGTCAGATTGGTTGGGTGTGTCACAAAGGAAATCTGGATGGGTTTTTTGTCCCGATTTGGCATTGGACTTAGCTTTTACAAAGATTCAAATCAACATTGAATAATAAACCTATAGTTGTTTCATAATTGATGGTTTTAAAAATTCTTAAAATAAATGAAATATTTTTTTAAAATTTTTCTTATTATTTTTAATAGTATGCTTTAGAATAAGATTTTGTATGGGAGATGAACTTAATTTGTACAATATAATTTAATGATTTTTTTATTAAAAAATGTTGAATTAATGTTAGTAAAAGATTGAAAATTTTACAGCTTAATTGTATTTGAATTATTTAAATATTTTGTTCATATATATTTTTAATGTGAGTTATTTAGAGTCAAATTAATCGTCCCAACGAAAACTGATGATTTGATAACATTGATAACTTCAATCCATTTTTTGTTAATATTTATAATAAACTTCATATAAAATTTGGGCAAAACTAACCAAACAATATTTTATACTTGTGTGATCAATGTAAAATAAATTTAACTATTTATAATGAATGGCATTCTTAGATATTTATTTCCATTTCAATTAATTAGTTTATACAACAAATGAACATATCAATTACCTTTTATTTTATTTTATTAACCTTTATAAAACAATTTCTAATCACGTTAATTAATGCTAACGTAAATTTTTAATTCGAAATAAATTTAGTCAGTCAAAACATAAGTACAATTCAAACGCGTTGAAAATTGTAATATTGATTTTTAAATTTCTTATTAATCTAGTTGAATATTTTGGATTTAGTAACTCATGTTAATAAACATATTAAAATATGTAGAATACTATCATTATTATAACTCGAGTTGTGTCTGTATTATTATGAAACAATAAAAATAAAATAAAAAATCATTTTGTTTAGTATGTGTATTAAATTACACGTTTTTTTTAATCATCTAACACACTTTATGGATTTATTAAAGCAGATAAACAACAATACACAAGTTTTATGGTGAAAATTTAGTGTTACTTATTTTCTAATTTTGAAATTAAATTTAGATATAATAATTATTTTATCAAAAAATACCTCGGGACGTTCAGGGTGACTTTTAATAGCCTTTGTATGTAAATCTTCTAGAGATGTATTCTACTTAAATTTTGATTAAGGATTTTTAATTCCTCTGAATGTATAAAAATTCTGTCTCTCAACACGTTTCTTAATGAATTCAATTACCCGGTTCCCGAAACGGTCGCATAGCGGACCACCACAAACTGGTATACCTTCATATCACCTCCGTGTCCGGCCGCCGTCGCGCACACTAAGCAACAGCGTACGGTACCAAATATTCATACCAGTCACAACTGTGTCGCGTCGTCGTTGACGGGGCTGCATTTGAGCGCTCGCGTCGTTTTGGCGGACGGCTGGTGGCAGTCGGCGCCAGAAATACGCCGGCTACTTTGTTCCTTCTCCTGCTACTTCTGCCATCCCTAACTAACCCCTGCCGTTTGTTTTCTTTGTAGTAAACCTGATTATTACGAGTACTTTACTACTTCTCACTCGCAGACTAATGCATTTTTCCTAACTTTTTAAAGGGGTTTGTTACTTGGTCACGAAATTTTCTTTTTAGGCATTCAAAGCGATATTGTATAAAATAGTATTTTAATATCTAGCTTTGCATACTCAGCAACATAAGTCTGAAACTAAGTGTTGAATATTGCTTCAAATCCAGTGTTCTAATAAAAAAGTACTGTACTTTTATATTAGGTTTGCAAGTGAAAATTTTTCGAGATTTATTAAAAAAATATTTTTTTTTGCAAAATTAATTTATTAGGTATGTCAGTCATTGGATTGAACAAAAGAACTTTTAATTTTTGTAAAAGAAATACGTGGAATAGTCAGGACAAGTATATATGATATCTGACAGTTATTAACATAACTATCATAAAAAAACTTCGATGTAAACTTGTTATATTTTACAACAATTTGAATATTTGTAATTTTACGATTTTTATGTTTTAAAAATTTCATTAATATATTAAAGGCTAGCTAAAATTTTTGTTTCATCACACAATAAGCATTAGAATTGCTTAGTCTATACTCTTCTGCTAAACATTCAATTAATATCATACGGGAGCATGAAGTACAAGGAACGTATGTAACACTTTTAATGTTGTGATTTCTACATTCATTTGACAATATAAATATTTGTTTATCATGTCATCTGAATTTTCTATCATTTTAAGTTATCTCAATAAGCATCGAAATTAAAATTTATCTCATTCAAAATAACGAATAAATAATAAATTATATACACTATACTGTTATGAACACCTTTTTGTTTGAGTACATTTATAACATTACATTTAATCAATGATAACTCAGGAATATTTTCACTATTTTACAACGTTTTTATATAGTGCTATGCAATTTTTTAGAATTTTATATTAAAAAATAACTAATAAAAATTTAAATAATAAAAAATTTTAGTTTAGTTGAAAAAATTGTTTTACATGCGTAGGTCTTTTTCAAATCCTGCCTGTAAATAATATTAATGACATAAAATTTTTTTATATCTATAATTAAGGAATTATTTCTCCACAATTAAACCCAATTTTTAAGATTTTAATTGTTTTAACAATATTGAAATCGTCTTTTTTTTTTTATAGATTAACCATTAAATTGAACCAGTGAGAGCTGAGAATTTTCAAAGATAAACATAAAAAAAACATTATAAATCCAATACCTTCTCAGTTTTGCATCAAAGCTATAAGTGTAAAGTTTTTAAAGAAGTTTTGATGATTAAAATACTTTGCTTTTGAAATACTTTGGATTTGTACCTATAAAATTTACAAAAATTTCGATTTATTCAAAATTGTTTCATTTCAGACGATTGTTTACAGTTTTTTTTACTACTCAGTGTAGTTTATATATCAAAATAAGAACTTCGGTCAGTTGGAAGACTGCTATAATATACATATATCCAGTAACCACATCAAATTGGTATGGTACTTGTTATGTAGTATTCAATATCACTATTACATCACCATTGATTGAACTAATGTGGCTTCAAGTGTGATTTCAGTTGCACCAGTCTTCAGTTAACAATACAATAAGCACGATGCGTTCAATTAAGAATATTTTCAATATGTCATCCGTGCGACGGTTTGGAAATAAGGCAGAGAGCTCTAATTTTAATCTGAAGGGCGTTTTTATTCCTATTCCAACACCATTTAAATCTGATGGTAACATAGATTATAAAGCGTTAAAAATTAATTTTGAACGTTGGGAAAAAATTCCATTTAGAGGTATAAATATCTTTATTGTATAAACAATATATTTTTAATATATTATTTTTTAGGTTATTGTGTTGGTGGATCCAATGGGGAGGGTCCTTATTTAAAAGCAGAAGAAAAATTAGAGATGGTTTCTAACGTAAGAAAAATGATTGGAAAAGATAGACTTTTAATAGTAGGCACTACTTGTGAATGTAAGTGAGATACCATTTTAAAAATGACCTGTACTTTTTTAAGTTATTTATACTAATATATCATATAGTTATATAACTTTTGTATTATAATAAAATTTAATGTAAGGAAGTTTCAATAAAAAATTTATTACATCATGTATAGGGTATGTGGGTATAGGATGATTGATTATAGTTAACATTGTCTCAAAAACTATTGAATATTTCAATTTTGCAAAGAAAAATATTTTTTAATTATCAAAACTCTATAATAAAATGTAGTTAAATAATTTTTTTTTATCTTTTTAGAATTAAAAAACCCTAATATATTTTTTTTTTTATTAAACTCTCATTATTTAGTTTGATAATATAAAAGAAAAGATATGTTAAAACAATTTTATTCTTATAATTTTTTTTATTCGATCAATCAATCGTATTTGTTATAAAATTGTTTATATATTTTGATTTAAAAAAGAAATACATTATAAATTTAGTTTTAATACAAAGCAACAATAATCTATTTCAATGGTCATATATTACCATCGATATTTAGTTTTGATATCGTGAGTAACAGATGTGACAACAAAAATTGTCAATAATAAATTGTTAATGTAGTAACATAAAGAAATGATGACTACTGTAAGCTGAACAATAAATTATCAACTGAAAATTGATAAAAAACGCTAAAATTTAACAAGTAATGACAGAACAACGATCCATCAGACAAGATAAATTATAAGGACAATATTGTTTGGGATTTTTTTTCTATTATATCAAAAAATAAAAAAAAATAGTGGTTTCTTTTTTTAAAAAATTAAAGTTTGAAAAAAGAATTTTTTAAATACATATTATTGTAGACTTTTTGAATCAAACATTTTATTCCTTGACGAAAATCGTCTTTAGTTCCATTTAAAAAAAATGAGTGTTATCTTTAAATGATTACTCTGTATTTATACCTTTTTTTGTGCAGTAAAAACTTATTTACTCATGAAACTCATATAAGTGTTTTGATATTTCCTGCGAATCAAAGAAGAATTAGAAATAAAGAAAATTTATTTAAATAGAAATAACTTAAATATTTGAATTAAAACACTGTATAATTTGTATTTTTGTTTACATATAATAATATCGAGAACTCTAAAAATAATTATGCACTATTCGATATATCTTAATGTATTTGAGTTTTATTTTTTTAAAGTTGATAAATAATACTTAGTATCACAATATAATTTGATGTTATAAGTATGGTAAATTTTTATTATAAAACTAAACAGTAAAGAATTTTCTAAATATTAATTTATAGCGACTAAACAGACTTGTGAACTCAGTAAAGCTGTTGCGGATGTTGGAGCTGATGGTGTTCTAGTGATGAGTCCTTTCTATTTTAAAACTCGAATGACAGTAAGTAAGCTTTTAACATTAAACAATAATCATTTCTTTAAATGTTTCATGAATTAGTATTTAAAAAATATACGACCCGACATATAGTTAAAAATTATAAAATATAATGAACATCACAGATCTAGTACAATTTAAATTATTTTAGGAAAATTCATTATATGATCATTTCACATCAGTTGCTGATACGTGTCCAGTTCCACTTATTGTTTACAATATGGTCCCAGTAACTGGTATCGATTTAAGTGTTAAAATACTTAAAAAAATGGCTATGCATCCAAATATAAAAGGGGTTAAAGACAAAGATGTAAGTATAAGTATATTCCAGAAAATTGTTATGAATAACACTTTGTGTAATGAATGAAAATATAAAAAAACAATTATCATTATTTTTTATGATTATTTTTTAATTTTAACGATTATGAAAATTTTTTTATACATTTGATAGCGTAATATGCTTTGATAGATGGATGGATAACAATTTTTATTATTGAAATCTTAGTTTTTAGAAAAATAATTTGTGTTATAAAAACTATATTAATTTTACCCTTTCATTTACAAAATAAAAATAAAAATCTCAATATAAGTATTTAGGAAAAAAAAAAAAAGTGTATTATGAAAATGTATTTTTTTAACAGTATTTTATACTTAGAAATTATAATGAAATATGTTAAATTTGTGTTTTATTTTTTAAAAATAGATGGGAAAATTAGCAGCAATTTATAACGAAACTAAAGATTTAGACTTTGAAGTCGTTGCCGGATCTGCTAGCTATCTTTTGGCGGCAATGCTTGTTGGTTTGTATTCAAAAATAACTCATTTAATTTCAATTCTTGTACATAACTTAAGTTATGAATTCAGGTTGTTCTGGCGGAATAAATGGTTTAGCAGCTGTACTTGGAGAGCCATTGTGTGAAATGCATAAGCTAGCATCCGAAGAACAGTGGAAAAAAGCATTAATATTACAGAGAAAATTAGTTAATATTGATATATTGGTAATGAAAAAATAATTGTTAATTAAACCTACAACTTAAAAAAATAAACTAAAAAGTAAAAATAAATGAAATTTGTACTTTAATATTTCATGTTTTAATAAGAACTTAAATAAAATAGTAAAAATGATAAACAAATTATTAAAGGTTTTTGAAATTAGTATAATACATACAATATATATATATATATATGTTTAGTTGATGCAAGAATGTGGACCAGCTGGATTAAAATTTGCAATGGATACATTAGGCTATCAAGGAGGCCCTTGCCGTTCACCATTACCAGATATAAGCATTGAACTAAAACATCAAATTAAATCTGAACTTGAACGATCTGGATTTATATAATGATTTATAATATTCTCAGTTAATAAGTAATGAAAGAATAATAAAATGTTAAAACTTATAAAAAAATAAGTTTGTAGTAAAATACCAAATAGACTTAACAAATTATTAAAAAATTTTATTTCAACTTTATTCAACTCAAATTTTATTTCAATCAATATAATCCAAATACCTCATAATTAAATAAAATATTTTATTTGTATGATCTTTAAATTTTTTTCTTAAGTAGATTTTTAATTATTTTTTATTTTAAACTTTAAATTAAGAATGATACGTCTGTCATTTTTGCTTAAAATTACACCAACTTTATTTTATATGTAACAATTGGGTGTTGGTATTTAAACAAAAACTATTTAAATATAAACTACTCTTCTTATTACCGTGTTTTTTATTTTAAAATCAATATTTACGAAACATGAAAATAAAACCAAAGTTTCTTTTATTTTTTGTATTTCTGGCATGCTCACAAAAAAAAGTATATAAACTTTTTGTAGGGTACATAAATCATAAAATTATAAAATATTCTTAAAATAATAATATTTTTCTACATAAATTAATTATTACTAATATTTTATCTTTATATTTTAGGAATATAAACAAAAATATTTATAATTTATTATATAATTTTATAATGGTCAATAAAAGTTGATAATGTACATTAAACCAAAAAGTAAAAAAAATCTGTATTGTTCAAAATACTAACGTGATAATCTGTTGTTAGATCACTATGGCACGTTTAAAGATTTGGGCACGAAAAATATAATATTTATAGAAATGAGAACAATGTACAATAATAATATTATACTGTGCGTAATATACACAGATTTAATTAAATCAAATTATCACTATTTTGATGATTCTCATTTACATTCTACTGCAGTGGCACAAAAACCTAGTTTAAATCCACCGATTTGTTTTTAAAAAATAATATTACTATTAATAAATTAATTTTAGTACAAGTAACAAGTGTGAAAAATTATTAAAAAGTAGGTATCTTATAACTAAATTTCGCATAACATTAATAATATACATTATATCACAAGCGTAATAACTATGATGTCATTACAAGAATTTTGTTTTAGCTTTGAAATCTCCAAGGCGTCAAATCTAATTCTGATAATATTTGTCTGCATGGAATTAATGAATTTCTGTGGAAATAATATGAGAAATTAAAAAGTTGTTAGCAGAAGTAATTTGCAAATAGTTTTTTTATCCAATCTCACACTCACCCTGGATTTATTTGTAAGAACGCGTTCCTTTGCATTGTTTGAATGTTATCTCCCGTTAAACAAATTAAAGATGACAAAGAAAATTTTCTAATTGTTGATAGTTGATCTAAAATAACATTCATTATTTTATACATCTTATAATTTTATTTGTAGTGAAGTTTCATTAAAAATAAATGGACATTGTATTTAACTTACCTGGTGTAAAAGCTCCCGGTGAAATATCATATTCATAGAAAAATCTGTCTCCGGCTTTATAACGGAAGAATCCTTCTCCTAAAATACACCTGAATGATGGAGTAGTCAAAGTTCCTGGCATTATCCTTTCAAGCATACCACCTACATAATAATCTATATCGTCTACTGTTGGATATAACCTGGCTAATCGTTCAATTCGCTAAAAAAAAAAAATTATTACATCCTTTTTAAGAGTTTTAAAAATAGTTTTATATTATACCTCTTCATCCATGACGTCCCTTAAATCATCAAATGATGTAGCTTTTGACAATCCACATAAAGCTCTAAAATTATTGTATGAAGGTAAACCCATATCTCTGCCTCTTTGAATATCTTTAGCCACCAAATCTTGACCTAGAGGACCATTTGCTCTGAACAATAGATCTGTGATCTAAAAAATATTTTTTCATTTATTAAAACTAAAAAAGATGCATTTTTATAATTGAAAATGAGAAATAATTAACTTTAAATACTTATTAGAAATTATAATGATTTAATTTCTTCTTTTTCCTCACCTTAATCCCAACTACTTGGGGTCTGCCACCCTTATCCTAAACTTCCACTTGACGTGATCTTCCACATAATCTACACTTACATCAGCCGTCATCATATCACATTCAATAACATTCATTCATTTCTTTGTTAGTCTTCCTCTATCTCTATTTCCTTCAACATTAATTTCTATAATTATTCTTACAGCTTCCGATTCCTCTCTCCTTATAACATGACCAAACCATCGAAGTCTATTTTCTCTCATCTTATCCACGATTACGCTACACCTATACTTTCTCTAATATGTTCGTTCCTTATACCAGCTTTTCTAAGAACTCATCCATCTAAAAATTCTCATTCCTGCTCTACTTTCTTATTAACCGCCCAACATTCTGAACCATACATCATAGCTGGACTCACTCCAGTCTTATGGAACTTACCCTTAGCCTTATTGAAATTATTTTTTTGCATAACACAGCAGAAACTTCTCTCCACTTCAACCACCCGTAATTAAACCTGTCTTACATTCTTGTCTAAATTTCAATGATTCAACAAATTTGTTAAATAGATATTAACGAAAAAAATTCTCAAAACACTTTTATCATAAAACAGAATGTTCATAGAACTGATGTTAAATTTATATTTATACGATAAATAACTTAAAAAATCTCGTTAGATCTTTTTATTTTATTTTAGAAACATAAAAGTTCTGATCAATTTTATTTATTTTATAGATTAATTATCCTGTTTTAATTTTTTTACACCTCATAACTATTTATAAATTATATTGTTTCAAAATAATCAACTTACCTCTTCACTGACAAATATGTCTTGAGCTTGTTGGGGCTGTGTGGCAATTCCTCTCAAAAACATGTCATAATTTCCTGGTCTTTGTATAATACCAGGTTTATTCATCCATTCGCTAAAACGTGTTGGAGCTCCTCCATTTTCTCTGTCTTCATTTACCAAACTATACTCAGAAAAAAATATTTATAACTAACCGTATGGTTTATTTCAATCATTTAAATAAACTCACTTAAATACAGAAGGTACAAGACTATGTAAAGATCTAAATGCTCCACCAGCAAAACTGGCTAATGTTGAAGGATTTATGTTAGAATTATAAAAATTACTATAACCTTGCTTGAGTGTTGACAAACCATTTTCGCGAACATAATTTTCTCCTGTAAAATGATTATTGATATTTTAATAATAATATAACTTCAAGTCAAACATAAAGTATAAACATATAAACTTATAATACATTGAGTTTCTTTAGAACTTTTACTATTTTGATCAATATTAACAATACTTTTTACTAATAAGAAAAAAAATTAAATTACCCAAAAGAATAGGTAAAAATTCGTTGTAAGTAATGTGTTGAATGACAGCAATAACGAATTTTCGGGCTTCCTGATACAAAATTTCATCAGACCATTGTGGATTGAGAAGTGTGAACTCATTAGCTAAGAAGTTATGTAATCGTAATAATGCCACTTGTGATACAGCCATATCTGGATGCTGATTTACTCGTCCGTCCCCTAAAATGTTTTAAGATTATTAAAACATTTTAAAACTACTTGTATAAATATAAAAGTTTAAATTTCAGTATTAAGAGAATACAAGTTATTTTTACTAAAGATTTTTTTATTAAAAGATATTAATAACATTTTTGTAATATTAATAATGCATTACAAATAAGTTAAACTTTATCTATTTCATTTAAAACTAGCATAACTTTCTGAAAAATGATTGAAACAAAACAATTTTTTTTTAATAGATACTTTATCTTATCGTATTTTTCTATCATTTGGTATATATTTTTTGGAAATTTGACTTGTCTTCATCATATAAATGGCTGACGTATTTAAAAACATTTATTTTTGTATTAAATTTCTCGATTTTATATTTTTAACTTAATATTGCTATAACTTTTTGAAAAATGTTTTTTAAAGACTATTTACAAGTCGGTTGAATCTGACATCCTTGTTTCGATAATCTGACGCCTATCTTATCATGAGGCATTCAAAATTTAAAATAGGCGTATCAAAAGTAGTACTTTTTCAACTTAACTTTTGCAAATTCAAACCTAACTTTACCGAGAACCTTGACACTTTATAATATATCTACATTTAAAGCTTTGACTATGTACTTCATTTCGAAAAACAAAAAATTTGTCTTCGTGGTAAAAACTTATATTAAAGTTATAGAAAAAGTATGATGTTTTATTGAATTTTAATAATCGTTATTACTTTTTAAAAAATGTACAACTATGAAAATTATTTATTTTAACATACTTTGCGAGGCCACTGATTTTCATAAAAGTGATATGGATCTAATTGATCTAAATTTTTTGCTTCTTTTAAGTCATGAGAAACGACTTTAAAATTTTGAACTAACTTAAACTGTGCTTTTTATCAATCGCCAATTGCGACATAAGGTTGTCGCGTTTGTAACACTATAGTAATTCACGGTTGGGTTACGAACCCCGTCCGTCAAAATGACTTTTATTATGTTTTTTACTTAATTTATTCTGAATATAGGGAAAAAATTCGAAATTCATTTGATTATTATCTCATTTAGATCGAATAACTTCAATAATTATCAAGGACCCCATAATTTTAGTCTCCTCTTGTGAAAAGCAATTTCTTATTCATATTAAAATTATATTGCTATTTGGTTTTTTTTTTATGTCTATTATTAATTTTTATCAGAGGTCACTTGACCAATTTTTTATAACGATACATCAAATGGTCACAACTTGTATCTAGTAAAAGATATTACACTAAAAAACTGAAAATTTTTTTTTTCTAATATCAAATAAAAAGTATAAATTGTCTATTTAAATTTGATGTGATAAATGGTTTCAACTACAAAGTTAAATTATTTTACTTTATTATTTATTAATTTTTTAAGTTTGTTTGTGTGTTCTATTGCCAGTTTAAAATATTTTGACATCATGTAACTATATAAATCATTTCTAAAATTAAACTTATTTTTGGTTACACTTTAATTATGTAGATTTTTTAATATTTTGAATATTTCAGTAGTTGAATCTTTTTAAATACCGAGAGTTACATAAAAATGATTACTATGACTTCTATTAAAATAATTTATTACAGTAAAAAAGCTAAAAAATTTAATGAAATTTTGATATTTTCTCATAAATTTACTGTAAATAATAATTATAAAATTTCCTAAAATTTGATTTTGCATTTTAATCTTAAAAATACCATTTGTTTATTTCTAATAAAATTGTCTATTTAATGATGTCAATTGAAAACTTATAAAAGTAACCACTTTATATTTTTTTATAATTTCTTCGTAAAAATTACTACATTAAATCATTAAATATTAATTTCATACTAAGTTTAATTACTATAATAAGTATTTATTCATATATTATACTTATAAATGAATGAACTACTAATTATGATCTAATTAATAAAATAGGAGTACATGTTGCTTTTGGAATGAATCACTAATTTTTTAATGTTAAACATTATCTACAAATTGGCATCGAATTGTATCTTATGACAGTTGTTTTAATCACTTTCTGATATCATCTATACCTGTCCTAACTATGCCACGTCCATACTGTGCTACTGTTTTTCATAATATAACACGACGTTTATTTAATTTTAAAAATGTTAGTTTTTAATTATGCTTAGATAGTAAACATATATTAAACTAAAAACCTTAATTTTTTTGAGAAAATGATACATTTTCAAAATACAGATAAATTGGGATTATTTTACCCTTCATACAATTAAGTAATTAAAAATAAATCATTTATTTCTAATATCACTGTTAAATTGTTATAATTCTTACCTGATCTATAGCAAACTTCGACATTGCTAGCAACATTACAAGATTGAGTAGGTGTGTTGACATTAGGCAAGAACATGCGGCCATCCCTTGTGAGTTGTGCCCTCAACCTACCACCTCTGAACGATCTCAAGTTACCAGCTGTGTTGCTAGTTGCACCGTATACTAATGAACCGTCCAAGAAATGCGTAGTAGCAATTACCTAAAAATATAACAGGTCTTTGTTTAAAATACAATTGATCAAAATTTACCATAAATAGGAAAATTAATTTTAATGAAAAACTAGGGTGTACTTTTAATGGGAAAGAGTATTTTTTAATGTAAGTAATAATAGTTGTATGCTTTATTGTTTCTACCAGAGAAAAAATATTAAGTGTATCTGTGTTATAAAAATAACAAACTATTGTTTTTTTGTATTGTATACAGAATATAATAATTTATTAGTAATCATCATTTGTTGAATATGTCGAAGTAGTGCTATTTCATTTTTTTTTATAAAATGCAACTTTAGACTAGATATGATTGCATGAATGAATAAATCTAATGAAAACTCATTATTTAGTTCGTCTTCTTTTTCCTTATCTCAATTCCAACTGCTTAGGGTCGTTCACCCTTATCCTAAACTTCCATTTGACATGATCTCTCACATAATTTACACTTACATCAGCCGTCCTCATATCACATTCAATAACATTCATTCATTTCTTTGTTTGTCTTCCTTTAGTTCTTCTTCCTTCAACATTAATTTCTATAACTGTTCTTACAGGTTCACTGCTTTTACTGTTTTACAAATTTATTATTTAATTTGTTAGTTAGCAAAATATTTATACGTAAGTTATTGACTAGACTCAATAAAGTTGAATTTATTGTATAAAATTACAGCATATGATCAAAAATTATTTGTTTAGCGCCCAAGTCTGGTTATCGTTTGATTGCTATTAGACTATAAATTCTAAAATAACTATTATTTTGTTTTGAAAGTAATATACATTAATAAGGTCACCTTTTGTTGTGGCGTGAGCTTACATCCAAAATCGTCGGATGATACAGTTCTTTTAGCTGGTAGACAAGCTGTACCAAATCTTGAGTAAAAGTGATCATTTGCTGGTACAGGAATTGGGAAACAATTTGGATGAAGTGTTTCGATTGGTAATAATTTCCCATTACTTGCGCAACAATCGGGAGCTGTAAATAGAAATATTAGAAAGTTAAAATATTAAAAAATTTTATTCTTAGTTGTAAGTGAGATATATATTTTACATTTATACATTGTACAACATAGATAATTTGAAATTTATGTATCTGTAACTCTTATGCAATATCTCACAAATTGAATAAATTATTTTTCTAATAATTTATATTTAGTTAACTTAAGGAACACGAGTTTAATAATAAATGATATTTATTTCAAAATATCATTTATGAATTATGTCATCTTCAAATTTAAGAAGAAATTATACGATTGTTTGGTACGTGAAAAATGAATAAATTGCGTTTAGTAGAAATATGATAATATAATTCATACATCGATTAATTCAGTAATAAGATAGTTTGTATTTCTTGTTACATAACTATAATAATATGTGTTTGAAAAAATATTAAATAATAATACTTCGGTAGTAGATGAACTAAAGTACATACGAGATTTAATTTTAATTGTAACAATCGAAAACAGGTATTTCCGTTTCGTACAGTTATTAAATATTTCTATGCGTAGAAGTAAAATAGTAATAATAAACTTCCGTTTTATTATATCACCAATAATTTTAAATTATTATATAACACACATTTCTAAGGTATAAGGGATGAATATAAAAAATATTTTATTATTGATAAATTGAAAAAAGTGTTTAACTAAAAGAAAACTAAAAAAAGTTATCGAATTTTTTTATTTTTCGATTAAACAAGTAATTCATGATACAAAAATAACTCTGTATAGTAAAAATATAAAATAATTATTTTATTTAGGACAATAAGATTTATTTTCGACATATTCTAAACAATATTGATATTTATATTTTGTTTTTAATGTATTCATCATTATTGTAAAATGTGTAAAAGTTAAATATATTACAAAATATAAACGACATTTAAAATTGCATTATAAACAGCACATGTAAGTTTTTAAAACGAGTGATTTACCATAACATTCGCTTTCTTCTTTTGAATGTCATTTATGATAATGAAATCACATTTTAAGGCTTTGAGTTATCTACATTAAGCTATACCTTTGTACTAAGAACATTAAAATTAGTAAAGGGGAACATAAACCATCGAATTGCGTAAGCTAAAACAGTAGTCCTAAGAGAAACCGTTTAATCGTTATCAAAATTGTCACGCGCAAAACAATCATTATGTTCATAAAGCACCATTATTGTTGTCACCTACTCATGAGTAACCAGACTTTATTTATTATGTAATGGCGGAAATAAGCAAATAATTGTCCATGCAGTAAAAGTGTCATTTGGAAAAGAGTAAATCATGATCAATAATAGTTAGCTCATTTGAAGATACCAAAAATTGCTTTAGCGATAATAGTGAAACTTTCAAGTTAATACGGTGGCTTTTGAAATGACTTGCTTAAAGTGTGTTTTTAATATAGAGATTTTTAAAATGTTGTGTTCATAGTGTAACACTAGCTTGTATTTATTTCTGTGTACTATGGTAACAAAATTATATGCATATTTCTTCTACAGTGATCAATACATCATTAAATGTTTTCTTTATTATTAATTGCAATACGTTCTAATAAAATCTATAGAGTCTAATGTAAAATTCAGGGCGTTGGTTTATTTAACGGATTGAATTTATTCGTTGATGATATTAATATTTTGACATAGAAAAACGTTATCTAACATTGATTAATTATAGGAAATTAAATATTTTAAGTTTAATTATCCTTACTTACTAAAGTAAGTATTCATTATATTGAGTGTTAAATATATTATTATCGCAGCGAAATTAATTACTGCATAAGATAACATAACTAAACATTCGTTTTCATAATTTAATATTCAATTAATTGTAAAATTCGGATTGTGTTTCTTTTAAATAAATCATTTAAATATTCTAGACTCAGTTGAAATAAAAAAAAAAAATGATATATTCTAATCAAACAATTATTTTGTCGTATATTAATAAATAATTATTAAAATTTACATTTATTTACTTGCATATAATTTTATTTAAACATTTATTTTTAATATTGTCATCATAATATATGGTTTTGTAAATATATCTGTTTACGTTAATACACATGTTTCTGTGTGTCATATTACTGCAAATGTTTATAAATTCATAAATATTTATAGTGTTAATTATAAAACTTAATCTCCCTGTATTGTATGATTGAGTAACCTTAATAGTGAATTCAATGTAACTGTTTATTTGATATTTATTACATTCAATACTTGAGTTCATTATTCAAAAAAAATCTACATTTACAGTATCATCACAATAAGTAAAAATTGGCATGAGTTATGCACTTATTTAATGAGTTACATCAACATTAAAAATAATGTTGAATGAGATAAGTTGATTTATGTCACTTACTCTCCATTCTACATCATAGTTACAAAATTATTTCATTTTAGATAATAATTAGAAATAAAAAGAATTTATTTTCTACATGATTTTTATTTCAATAACCAAATAAAAATATTTATAGTAAACAAATATAAACATAATTTCTATATATATCCTTAACTAATTAAATTGACAAAAATTTTATTAAGTACCATTTAAAACAATAATTTTATTTGTTTAACAATGAAGTCGAATCTATTGTTTTTTATTTTAATTTAATTAACAAAATGCACGTGTATAAATTGAAAAATCACACGCATAAGCAGCGTTGTTATGACTGATAATAGCTAGTATGTATAAATATTTAATGAATATATAAGACTATGAGAAGTATGTTTATACACAAATATAAATACACTTACATTAGTGTACAATGTTAAAATTGTATAGCCTTGAAGAACGGTAGCTAAAACGGGGAATACAGGAATAATGGGGTAGGCAGTAGACTCTCTGACCTCGAACGAAGTTTATATTCAACGGAAATTATTGATATTATTAAACACATATTAAGTATTTTGGAGTGCACGATCAACAAAACATGTATATGTATAGTTACCGATACTCAAGATGTGTCATGTTACATCGAGTAGATCTTACTGATTTAAAAATATAATACTTAGAATTTTACCGCATTTTAGTATTTTCAATTACTGACGAGCACTAATGATCGTGTGATTTATATATAGGAAGAACGCGATGGAAACTTTGTCGCAGATACTGACATCAATTACATCAATGATAGCAATTTTTTCGCTATGAACCAGACCCTAAGGCGTTCCTGGTGCGCGCATTATCAATAGACTAATTAACATGTGATACTCAAGATGCCACATAACTTCTGCATACTAGTGCCATTAATAGTTATTATTTAATGGTGTTATCATGATTAAAACTGTGTCAAGTCCGTGACCTCGGGGTAGGCGTGCGTCACACTAAAATACCACTACACCCGATGCACATGAAAGCTAAATGACTTTTGTAGTGAATTTCCTCAGTTTTCTTAAGATGTGATGATACATTGTGTTTAAAACACATGTGTAATATTAAACATTGTTTTCTCAATATCTCTATGATACATTTAAAAAGTTAATTTTAAACATGAAATGAGCTAAGATTTAGTTATAGAAAATAGTGCTTATAGTGAAATAAGGAAATATATTGTACATACTACATGATGACTATATTGTTAGTACAAAGTAGGATAGCAGAATATGAAGTCAACGTTTTCTCTCTGGCATAAAAGTTTAACTTTAGAAAAACATAACATACATATACATAAAGTAAGTTATGTATACTTCAATAAAATAAAAAACATATTGGTCACCTCCACCATATTTTTAATACTAGTTTTTCTTTTTCTAGATCATTAATAAACGACTTACCAGATTTCTCCGTGAGTAGAGTGACATCATGAGCTACCACTTGCGCCCACTGCATTACTGCCAGCGTAAATCGTATATCTGGCACATTCCTTTCTGGGAATAATGTCGTACGGATCAGTCTGGCACTGGGAAGTACTCGGCCAAATGTAGTAAGTCGAGGCCTACTCTCTCCTAAAAAAAAAATAGCAATAGAAATTTAGTTCATTCTTGAAAAAATACATTTAATATTTTTTATTTGAAAATAAATTATTATTTAAATATAATAAAATTTATATAAAGGCGTCGGTCTGGCATGTGGGTAGAAACGTATGTTTGGAGCACGGGGTCCGAGTTCGACACAATAAGACGGCCCCCACCCTCTATAGCATGTTAAGTTGGGGAATAGAAGGATATAAAGCTGAATATAAATTTAAAATTATAAATCGCTGAAAACTGAATGCTCATAATTTTTCAAGTTGAAATTTTTAAATAATCAAATAGCTTACATTATCTTGATGAGCTATTCATTAGTAAAACGAACAAATTTCTTAATGATCCAAATTGCTTTAAGTTGACATTTTCGTTGCACTTAAATTAGATATTATAATTTCTAAAGAAAGCAGAAATTTTGTGTTCGTCATCTCATATTATGAGATTTACGTCATCCGGAGACACAATGTAATGGATACTATGTCTAATATTATAACATGTCTAATTTCAGTATATCCGAAGGCAATAAATATCATAAAAACTGGTTTTAATTTAAGATTTCTTCTTATTAAATGATAGTAATCATTATGCGACTGGAAATCGATAGTATTAGAGTCGGAAATGAGATGGATATTTCACAAGCCGAATTTCTTTTTATTATTGATAAAACATTACCTTATTTTTTAAGTGGCCTATCTTAACAACTTTTACTTACGTAACTATTCCAAGTAAATTAAATCTTAATGTGCGATGAATAGGGTGATCAATTGTCATTAATACGAAGTTTTTCAATAGATTGAGTTACGAATTTGAATTGAAATCATTCGAAAATTTTAATTTAAAATGTGTTACTTTCTGATGTCAATTTAACCTTTTTGTTATATTGATATATACTGTATATAATTGAATAGGTTTTTTACGGATAACGCTGATTGAAAAAAGCGTTGTTATAAGGTCTTGAAAAAAAAAGAATACTGCTCAAAAAAATTTTTTTGAGCTTACTCAAGCATCTAAGAATTTACTGCACTAGATTTTTAGGCAAGTGAGTACCAAAGAAAAAAGAAAAAATTTAGGGGGTCTTATAAGACAGTAATTTGGAACTCATAAGCAGCACCTATAAAATATAGATATGTAAGATTATTTTATGAATAATTGCGTACTAGATATTTTGTTTTTTTTTTGTGGGAAAAGACTTGTAGATTTCACTTTTTACTATAAAAAATATTAATAATATATTATTTTGCTTATAATTTGTTGAAATAGAAGTGATCGATTGGTATTTTTCAAAAAGTGGAAAACTTATAAGACACAACTAATTCATAACTAACATAATAGAAGAAAGTATCAATATTGATAAAGGAAGAGGAAGATCAAGAAAACATTCATAGGAAAGATGCCTGTAATGTTTAGATGCATCAAATATTCAAAAATAAAGACTTTGGCGTTAAGAGAAAACAATAGAAGTCGATTTTTGCTACAACAAGGTATAAACTTTAGTGAAAAAAAAAGGAATTTGTTGAAATGTAGAGGCTTGTGATAATTTTTTAGTTTGTATCAATATTTTTATGTATAAAATATTGATAATAATTTAGATAGCTTTTCATTATAAGGTTGCATTTATAACAACCATAATATTAGTTATTATAATAGTAAATACCGAAGCATTGATATTTAATAAACATAATTGATTAAAACAAAAGTAAACAAGTCTATTATTATACCTTTGGTTGTTACAATAATCTATTGTTATTTTAATACTGAATGGACTATTCATCGTAGAACAATTGCCTAGATCATTTGGTTTAATTTAATTAGTCTATATAATTTATATTGTACAATAAGCATCTTAAGTGAACATTAGCTATACACAATTGATGTATTTTCATTGTAAATGCTCAAATTACCTATTAATTTTTATCACTTATTATAACTTTTTACGAATGAACAAATAATTTTAGAGCAATTAATAATGCAAAGTGAAATGGCGTAAGTTTACATTAACATTGTAAATTATTTAGTAACGTGTCATTCATCAATGGAATCGCCTAGATTTTGGTCGGTTACGCGACATTTAGTTAAACGGTGAATTAGTAACGTAAAAATAATGAAGCTAATAATATACTTAGCACCCAGTCCTCCACAACAAATATGTTGTGAAAATACCCACTATCGTTTTTTATGCACAACTGTAGTTTGAAATAATTAGTGCGCACAGACCAGCTTAAACCATCAGTTGTGTCCACTATTATTTTCACCTGTCCTTGGAAGAACCTATTCGAGTTACCTACATAATATCACTATTACTTCACAACTGGACTATCAGAGAATACACGCATAAATGTAGAGCATGACATGGTACTTGGTCAATACAAATTGTTTAAGTATCATGTGTTAAAAGCGTATTAAATAAAAAATTTCTAGAACTTTCATAATGTTGTATGACTCACGTGTAAATTGCATTTTTTTTTGGAGGACAATACTAACTTACTCTTACTCTAAATTAAATTTTTTTATACACAAAAATGTGTGTTATTTATTTTTTTAATAAATTTGAATGAAAATTAAAATTGTCAGTCTATTTTATTAAGACATTAAGAGAAGTAAGGAAATCCAAACATACGTTTCTACGCACTAGGCCAAGCCGACCCCTTAAATAATATTTTAATAAAATATTTTAAGGTTATTATAAAAGTATTAATACAAATTTTAGCTTCCAATTTTTTAGTAGATTAAGTTTACTAACATATTAAAAGGTAATGACTAATTATCTATTTATAATTTAACTGTTTTAAAACCTCTATTGAAAACTGTTATTTCACAAGTAATATAAAAATAAAAAAATAATTTTGTTGGATAATTACGGGTCTTGATTCTTTAACGAAGTCATAGTTTCACACTTGCTACGATTTCGATGGCAAGTATTAAATATATATTTATAATGCATGATTTTAATTTCATGTGTATGTATTTTAATTATTTGCTATTACATTACAATGTAACTACTTTACCATCTTGATAAGCTGCCGGAAGCAAACGGACCAGTGCTGTGTTAACGGAACCCCAACCAGGCTGTTGTAAGTTATTGCAACTGCCATCAAAACTCCTGTATCGAGACCGAGGATTACAGGGTATGTCGGCCAGACAAACATCAGCTATGTTTTGTTGGCTTACGCTCTGCGCACCTGTGACCATAGTACCTGATGGCTGAACATCTCCGACTGTACCTAAAGTAGTAAAAAAAATTACCATACGTGTGAATTGAAGGCGATGAACCTTAATTAACAAATTACACAATAATCGTAAAATTAAATAAATATTGGAAAAGAGTTTTATTATGCGTGTCACGACCACTTGGCATCGCGACGGTTATCACTCGATTACACACAAGGATGGGTGGCGAATTAAAATTATCTTTAAAAATTGTTTTGTCAACCTTGTGCCGGTTCCCGAGTTTGATTTTTGTTGATTCTTAGTTCCGAGGGTTTCCATGCGAAACATATTAACAACGATAACAGTATACAATTATGAGAAAAATGATAAAAGTTTATAATTTAACACTTTTAAATTCTCTCAAATTTCTAATGAATTTTATACTTTATTTTTTTTTTTACCAAAATCACTGAATTTCACTTGACCAGCTATGTGATTATTAAATATTTAAGTTCAATATATGTTTGTTTTTTTATTGCAACATATAAATCGTACACATTAAGTTTTTATGTTTAAATAACTTTTTATAAATATTTTTACAATTTTCATTTTTTATATTACAATACTTTTAAATTAAAATAATTACAAGGTGTAATAAAAAAAAACTAGTTTAAGTTCATTTTATTTTTATATTATTAATGGTACTTAAAATTTATACTAAAAATATTAATGTTAATGCAATATGTTAAAGAATACACATCAGTAATCTAAGGTAAGCCTTGGGAACGTTTTGTTCATAGTGAGTGGTTAAAAAGGTTAAGAAAGAGTGCAATTTTAGAATTGTGAGTGAAATCATAAAAATAAATTTTATTGAATTTATTTTTATATAGAAATAATTTTTCATAGATATTTTTCAACAACATACGGTGTTTAAAATATTTTCAATGAAATTTTATTAGTTTAACTTAAAGAATTAAAAAAAAAACTCATAAAAATAAATAATACTTTAAATTTAAAAGTATTTAATTTATATATTAAATATTAAGATGAAATTAAAAATTTTACATTAAACTAAGAATTGTTATCTATTGTTTGTTGTTTTAGTAATTTTTCATATAACATTTATGGTAAATTTTTGTTTTATGGTTCACGTAGATTTTAATAAACTTGAAAATAATAATTTATCTATTTATTTATATGGTACAATGCACGCTCATTTATTTCCGCACTAGAGTTTACCGTTTAATATAATTAGTGTTTTGCAATCGGTGTTTTATGAACATTACTGTGTGGTTATGCGGGCGTGAAAATGAAAGTTCTTAAAGTAACATCATTTTTTGTTTTTACCGGTAATCAATAAATTTTTATTGAAAACTAGACTCTAAATAAAACACTATAGTCAGAAGTGGATCTCATAAACATGAAAGGTTATAATGTAGAATAGTGCAGTGAGGTCGTCCATTGTTTGATCCTCATGACCTCGACTGGGTCATCCGGACACTGAGACAATATTTCCGATTCATGAACTCCGGACGAGATGAGTGCAATAATATGTTGTTTAGAGCGATCGTGCCTTCGTGCAAAATTCATTAACGTTAAACAAACGATAGCAGTAAAATTATCGAGCTGCAAGCGCACGATCTGCTGATTAAATGACTTGACGTGTAAGCTTCAATATCAATTAAAACTAATCATTTTTGACGGTATGTGTTTTTTTCATACATTATTTTAGTTCACTGCAACTTTAAATTTCACTTGATGCGTTTTAATTGATTTTAGACCCTAATATATTGGTAGATCCAACTGCCAAAATCTTTAATTTAGCTTGCGAATAATTAAATTTATGCCAGTTTGGATGGTACGTATCATATATACTTGTGTACATATTTCATGTGCTGTAACCTTCAATAGATCGCAAAATTATTATTAAAAATTGGTAATATTTTAGTGAATTTTAATAAATTGTAAAAAGAAATTTGGCGCCCAAATCCAATTCACATCCTTGGATGTATTGAATAAATAGTGGTTTTAACTTATTTATTTACTATGATATTTTCGACTAATGTTGAGATTCATATTAAGATTTTCATATCATTTTGCGGATGTAATTAACTTTGCAGCTAAAATTATAGTAAATTTTTATTTCTAATAAACGTTTTTCAAGTTCATTAATAAAAATCGATTTCACCCGTTATAAAAATATTAAATTATAATATGCATTCAATATTATATTATATTGAAAAACAATTTAGCATAAATTAAATGAAGATTACTCTTAATAGTACTCAAATCTAATAATGAAGGCACGTTAATCGGATTTTCCGAATAGTGAAGGTCAAGTAATTAAAATTTTTCAGTTCGTTGGATTTATGAGGAAGTTCATATTTGAATTATCATTACATATTATCACACTATAATATTAATTGAGTTAGTTCATTTGCTAGATTTCATAGGAAAAACATTCAGTTAAAACTGAAGGTCTTATGTAATATGTTATTATTAATAATATATTATAAGGGTACCGTCTTTTTTACTGCTGATTAATCAAAGTTTTTAGACACATTTCAATTTAGTTACATCTCCATTTAATAATCCAGTCTTCCACATTATCAGAAAATAATTTAAAAATAACACTAAAATTGTTTAATTAACTATAAATAAGTAATTCCAACTTGGTATCTGATGTCAACCATAATAAACACCACAAGGAGCACGTTTTTGCAGTTTGACCATAAAATATTTTACTTTATTATTTAAAAAATAATTAAGTTATTATAATTAATTTAAATGCTAACAGGAAATGTGTCCAGCTTTTTCAAAACGTCACAGAATTCAGTTTTAGAAACATTAAATATTCAAAAAGTCATTTTATAAAATAGCATATGTTTAATATTCAATAGAGAGATAACATATTAGGGATGCAAATTAATTTTCTATCCATCATGTTTAATTTATATTTCAGTGAAATTTTCTCTATTGAGACAATAATTTTACTAATATACAAATGTAATTTATTTTCAAAAAATGTTGATAGGGTACGTTGATTACAGCATCCATGATTTTATGTTTCTTAATGACAAAGAGCAACTTGTATGATATTTGCATGATAACAATTGGTTAATTATATTTAGACCTAAGCTATTGTTCTATTTAATTATACCACTTCTTGACGATTTCATACGTGGTTACGGATTACTTACCGCTTACCTGACGTTCATATGGTCAGGTTCAAACACAATATAGATACTACAATGTGTTGAGTTATGTAAGAGCTAAAATGTAGCCTCAAAACATACAAAGAACAAACAACGCAAAGCCCTATACGTTTTGGACGCATTTCGTCGACTACTTAAATGGATGTTGCACATGTACAAGTGACCTTTACATGTTATTAATATTTTTTACGCGTAAGTGTGAAAAATGAAAAAAAATCTTCTTCCACTGTGTTGAAAAGTTTTTCAACGATTTCAGCAAATATAATTATTTCTCGTTTAAAATGTGTTGTAAAATTTTAAGCATTTCATATCCATCAAAGAATATTTTGACTGACCGTCTTGTCTGTTATATTATTGTACAATGGAAACTTTTTCATCGCGATAAACACTTTTGAGTTGATCAAATATCTACAGCAGCAATATCAAGGCCGTACTGTCAATTTTACCGTTTTAACGCATCGTCGAATCCACCACGTCTTTATTTGCATACTATCAATTATCGTAGCAGAATACTTATGATATTACATATGTACTCTTAACAATGTTTGCATTAAGACTTCCGGGATTGTTCGTGGCGGCAATCACAGTAATGGGTAATATACCACAGTAATTTCCAGCGTTCTCTAATCCGACATTCGTCTCGACTGTATTGTGCTATGAACAATACATATAAATGGAATATGCACAAGGGACATCTTTCTATAGCACCTTGAAAAATATTTCATTTTGATTTTTTTCCGATCAATATTTTTCTATTTTGATAAAAAATTAATGCGAAGAAAATCTTGGAAAATCAATTTTGCTTGATAAGAATTTGAATAACACATCAAAGTAACTTTTGATGTAATTGAATCGACATTCATAAAATTACACGGGTACTTGCAAAATACTTTGGATATCCCAACAAGCTAAATTACTTCCTCTAAAAAATAATTAATGTCACAATTCCGCGGTCATTAGATATAATCGGTATATCACAAACAAAACATGAAACAATAAGAACTCGGAACAATGATGACTCTAAATTATAATTCCTTCATACATGGAGAGCTGTTAATGTTATTCAGTACTAATAATAAGCTATACAGCTGTATTGGACTCACCTATTCTGGCGTTCCATGGCTGTACTACCTCCAGGAAATTTTGTCTTTTACTACGGCCGTTCGTTGATGTCTGTAACAAACAAAAACAACAAACTGTTATTCTCAAACAATTATAATTATAATGCTCTACATATTTGCCATATTGTGTTACGTCGATAGTGCAATGTTAGTATTATTGCGTGATTAAACCAGATTATAGCGGTGACGTTAGAAAAATCAGCATGACTCAATTCGAGCGCCACATAATTTTTACTCTCGATGAACTTGTAAATACAACGTGGGTGCGGTTAATTGGTCGAGAAATTTAAAACTGCCACCACTGTAATAAGATTATATGACATGACACCCATCGATAGTATGCTCGTTCAGTGAAAGAAAGTATGTGCTTTCTCAAAGGTAACGCACTCAAGAAGTTTTCTTAAACTGACAGTTACTCATTTCACGCTCCCCGGAAGTCCGGACTTGCAAAAAATGATAAAACAATGTTGTAAAATAAGTCAAGTCGGGAGACATAACTGCAACCGTAAATCGTATTCAATTAAAAAAATGAATCGAAGGTTCCATAGATTAAATATTATCATTGAATTATCTATAGGAATTCAATTAAAATTTAATTAGCAAGTTCATTTTATAGCTGCCCCTCGCAGTCATGCGATATGATTGACAACGGATTTAAAAGTAAAATGTTTAATTATAAACCAATGCAATGTAAACGATTCAACAACACATTCATTAGACCACCTGATTAAATTTACGACCAATTCCAATGTCAACGACTTGCGCGAGATGAGATCAATAAAGCTGCGTTTTCCTTATGAAAATATTATAGTCTATAATTAATTAATATTTTGTGTAAAAAACAAAGAAAACTTGATTTGTTTAAAAAAAAAACATGATCTAACCCAAAGTCGAACTACCAGCGATTATTATTAAAATTGTATGAACGTGATCACGATTTTATCGTTGAATTCGATGAAAAATTAATGCTCTGTCAAAGTGATTTTTGTATATTTTGAACAACAGTAATTTATTTGGGCGTCTCCTCAACGCCGTTAATCGTTTCGTAAGACGTAATCACGTACTTATTATATATTTTATTAGATAATGTCTATTTATAGATACGTAAGTTTTAATGATAAAAAAAAAACAATATTGTTCAATACAATGCTTTGTTCGAAATTTTCATATGACGTAGCAAGTTCAATATACGCTGTAAAGTTGTTATTCTAAAAAAAAAATTTCAATGTCAATTGTTCACCGGATTTGATGATTAATTGTTTATTGTTAATATGGTAATGAAGATTTAAGATGAATGTGTAAGATAATGTTATTTTAGAAAAAAAAAATTAATAATAATAGCAAGTTATTTAATTTATAATGATTTATACAGGTTATTATTCATATTGAAATATTAATTAGTCATAAATAATAAAACCTTAGCAAAATTATTACGGTTTTATATTTATTAAGTTTATTTTTATTAAAAAAACTAATGATAATTATTTTTCATAGTTCAAAAAATAAAAAATCGCTTTGATTTTGTGAAAATAAACTTCTTGTTCCTATATCAATATTTAAAAACGTAATAATATAACATTTGTAAAAATTGTTATTTTGTTTTAATACCAATAGATTTTTTTTTTTTAAACAGGGAAAAACTCAATATTTGTATAACTTTATTTAGCTATATGTGTTAGACAGGGTTTTTTAATTAAATTTTTATTTATAGTACTTATTGAATAAACCAAGTTAATGTTTTTCAGCGGCTGTATGAAAAAAAAGTCCTCGGGACATTAGTGATGTTTAGCAAAGTGAAACCTTAAGGCGTGGAACGTTCAGAGGTTTAATCGGTTGGTTTTGCACGTTCGCAATGTCAAGATCGCATACTCACGTGCCCGTGGGATGACAAAAAGGTAGAAAGTCGATTTGCGTGTGCACGAAGACCTAACGATGACAACTTTCTGTCAACTCACTGATGATATGTCAAAATAAAACAAACGCGTCAGTACAATATTGAAATTGTCAGTGACCTTTGAAAGTATGGCTAGGAGATAGTATTTAAGATGACTCTGGACCACGAAAAGAGGGTGTATACATATATTAGAAACCCGCAGGTAGTTTAATATTCACTTTCCGAAATACCGGACTGCACCCCACATCATAAAAATGATAATGATTTATAGGTCTTTGCCTAAGATCCATAACAATAACGGCTTTACGTAACTAATTCTCGGACAATGTGTTGTGTTTTTACACTTTATGGACTTGTGATACTCTATCCATGAACGTCACAATCACAAGAGTGTCATTTGTACAATACAGTGTTAGTAAATGTTATCATAATTAGAACAAATTATTTCTAGAAGACTACGCATTAGTTAACTTTTTGGGGGATTGCGGTTTCATATTTATAGGTCAGTTGAGTGTATTAAAAAAGACTTAGACAGTTGACTTGCTGTAGGAATATTCTTGAATAAAATTTACGATAAAATATTCAAGTATTTCTCTTACAACCACACATTTCTTTGTAATTTACCACCTCAAATGTTAAACACACACAAATATCGTTATAATATTATAATAATAATTGTGCCGAACGTGATGCCGCGCTGAAGTCCGAATCCGGTTGACATTGGACCACGACGAATAATATTCTAGTAAACAAGCATAATGTACCACGCGCTTTTGTGTAAAAACCGAAGAATTATTGTAATGCGACAGTTACTTAAAATGAGCAAATGTGTGAAATGGTCTTGACCTAAAATTCTAGGTAATTTATTATTTTTCACTTTTTTTTCTAATAACAGCGCAAAAAAAAAAAACTGAAAGTGTTTCTTGTCATTATTACAAAAAGTCGTCTACCAAAAGCATTATGAACAATTGACCACTGCCATGTCTCCTATCGTGCTCACCAATTGCAATTATATGCGCTCCATTAAAGTTTACACAATTGTAACATTACAATTTAACTTAGATTTCCTGATGCTCGTGCCAAATACTTGTATATAATACACATGAATCATTCTGTCAACGTGACGCAAATGCCCGATTTATAAATGATATAATTACACATTTCTAGCGGAGACATCGTCAATACTGTTTATCGTATATCATCAATTAATCTTTATTATTTGTGCGTGATCGGGTTGAAATTATAAGAACCAATATTATTATCGTCGTTAGATTGCCGTTTTAATAAATAGGTACGATAATCGTACAGCTGTATGATTATTTCACACAAACAATGATTCCGATCATGTATTTGAACTATAAGAAATAGCAGTTATGTCCTCTCTTTATTATTCTGAGATTACATCAAGATTTTTGCCAAGTACTCACGATGGCACGGATAAATATAACAGCGTAAAGGACTTTCAACGGCACACAATGAAATTACTATTCTGGATTTTTGTTTGAACAATAACCACACTCGCGCTTAATTAAAAACGTTTCAGTTATTTCACAACGCTTCGGTAGCTACTGTCTTCCTAGATGGTTAGAATGAGCTGTGCGGTCTTCTCTTAAAATGTCCATTATGTACTAATGCTACATCTATTATCAAACACAAATCTAGACAATTCGTCGAAGTGATAATTATTTATCCTTCCTTGTGCTTCGTGCAACGGCTCACAACAATAGTGCAATTACAGTGTCAAGTATCAACAGTAAAATTCGACCGCTGATTCTAATTTCTCAGCAGAAGATCCCCTTGGAATTTTCGTATCTCTGTATTACATCGTTTATGGTCCTCCGGTCTTGACCAAGGTCGCTAAAATATCGCTCACATAACGGCTAGGCATTATAACGGTTGTAATAAATTGCAATCATCAGTCGTGGACACGTTTATTTTCACTATTCGGCACTGTGAGCTTATCGTGTACTTAGATAATGGATAAACTTGTTGACGGCTGACCAGTAAAATGCGCACTTAATGATGTTTTATTAAAACTGCGATACCATGGACCAACGGTCAAGTAAATTGTAATCTATTACAATTATTATACAAAACTGTGTAGTTAAAGCCTTGACACGAAAAGGAGAACATTCTTAACGACGGAATAACATTTTTAATTCTCGACTTTCGTCATGATTTGCGATGACACCTCGCTGTCCGCCAAATCAGTCCACAATTTACAAGTGTAAAGACTCATACGATATATTTTATCAAGTGGGCATCCGAAATCGCCACAGCCAGTAAAAATTTTGGATTTCACGTAGTTGCCCTTTTCAGGTTATGGCCAATGAAATACCAACGGCGTCACGAACTACGCGCGCGTCTGCGTTTGTACAACGCCATTGGAAGTCGAGATTTCAAACTTGAAATGAAAATCGATCGATGTTATCGAATTCCGTTTTTAGACTTGGGCGCAGTTATTGGCGTTGATGACTGTAACAAATGGCAAGATAAAACGCGCAACGATTTGTAACGGTGTATAAAAAAGCGTACAACAAGTATCCCGTACGCGGTTTTAGGTCAAGATCGCTGTCAGAAACTCTTTCGCGTGTTGTTAGTGCTACTCGTGATGGGTTGATACCCTGGAATGACCAGTTGCGATCTAATGTGCCAGTAACTTAACTGTACGACAATATAGGCTGCTTATTGTAAACCATTATTAAATGTGCGTTTACTCGTACAGCTTATTTCGTCATACAGTTGACCATAATAATATCAACAACAACAACACAACGTCAGAATTTATAGTTAGGTGTGCGTTGGTGTGCATACTTTTGAATAACAGATCTTTGTCGTGACCGCCCGTTTACAGCACGTTGTCATTAAACAATCAGCCCCGTTTTTTAGATTTCTGATCAGTATGATGTTTTCACTTAAAACAAATACCTGCACTGTGTCAACACCAAATATTCTGTTCGACAATGTAATTTAATGGAAAACCCCACGACCGGATAACACGGTGCCAAATCAAAGCCACAGATTTCTCGATTGGATTAAAATAATGCTATCAACTATTCCGTCGAGTTTTCAAACCTAATGCCTAATTTCTCGTTGATATTATATACCTCATGAATTTTATAGTTTATCTAAAAAGCGTTTTATCAACACTAGTCTTATTGCGTTATGTTTTCATAAAAATACATCGTGTCATTTATTAATGAAAGCAAAGTCATAATTTTTTCCTTTTTTTTTTTTTTAAATTTAGCAGTAAAAAATACTTTCCAAATTATCTTCTTCGCAAATGAAATTAAAATCATAAAATTATCAATGTGTCGAGTTTTATAACACTGAATTAATTTTACTCTATTGACTTTCTATAGATTTCAAAAAAATATCAAAATTAACGCGAAGAACAAAATAAACGTCTATACGGTAAATGAACTTAATAACAAATAAAGGTTGTTCGTAGAGATTCTATGTTTAGTTTTTAATTATTCATAATGATTTTTCTACTCCACCCTCCCGGATTTCGATATACGCGTACAAACATTGTATATCTGGTGTATTTTTTACGACTTGTCTAGCACATCACATCATTCATCTGGCAAAATATTACTAGAATAACTATAAAAAAATCCTCAGCTTTATTACTATTATTCGGCGTGGCGCCGACGGGATAATAATCGATTTACGATTCAATTAGTATGTTTAGATACATATTAGCACGTTTTAATAATAATGTATTCGTACTTTGACGTATTATTATTATAAATAGTGGCGTATGAGATTTATTTTTTATAGTCATGACGTAAGTATAATAAGTCTCAACGTTAAATAATTGTACCGCACAAATCAATTCGAGATCCGGAATGGCTCGGTCGAGTGGGTGTTTCCAAAGCGAAAACAAAGCAGAGTATAAAAATAACATAATGCGGCGGCGAATCTGCCTGGATCCGTCAACCTGGCCGTCGTGATGGCCAGAAGGTGATTTCGGCCGACGGTTACTGCCCATCGCGTTTGTACGCGCTCTCATACAAGTTCAAGGACATGTTGGTACAACTCGTACGGCCAAAAATCACTTTTACCCTCACCTGGCCGTTACGAGTGCTTGTCCAGCGGACGACACGGATAAAAAACCATCGGTTACAATTATATACATTTTCGTAGATGATAATTATTTCGATACGACCGTTTATGGTGTACAATTAAACGCGCTGGCTGAAGTACATTTCGTCTATTTTTGCTCCCTTTCACGTTCGATCACCGTTCGCCACCGTTTCCAATGTCGCGACCGTTTGCCCTTGCTCGTCCATCCGTCGGTTTTTTATTCCTACGACGATCGCTTCACGTCGTTATTTATAACACTAGTCATCCTTAGCGTCGCGAGATTTATGGCATCTAATAATAATATCGTCTTCCGCGTTGTTTGCCAATAGCGTAGCGTGGAGCACATACGTTCTATATACAATTACAATACAATACCAACCGCACTGGCGTGGCGCAGGGCCGTGATGAATGCAAGCGTGCACCACAAATGAATATTAATCACGATTTTACCGGTCGCCAAAATACTTATGTCTACCGCATACCGTTTTCCCACATGACCTACCTATTTGCTACAGTAACTAACATTAAGTTCGGGCACTTGATGTAAATATTGATCATAAATATTATATGCGTTCGCTATAACACAATTAAGTCTTGCGTTATTGATTTGTTGATGTCGCCCTCTTGACGTAACACGTTTTTAAACGAATTAAAAATGAAAACATCAAAGGTTAATAATTTTCATTTCAACATATTCTATTTAAACAACCTAAAATTTATCATTGAAGATGTTGCCATACTTTATTAGCTTTTTACATTACATTATATACTACTTGGCATTTTTCAGCGTGTGATAAAAAAATAATATATATATTTTTATAAATGGTACAACTCCAAAGCCAAACAGATTAAATATTATGTCTTAATAGTTTCTCAGTTTATAAAAAAACTTAAACCTTTATTATTTTTAAATAAAGTTCTGCAGCTTAGTCCGACGACTTTATTTTTATAACTTCACAAAATAAAGTAGTTCAATAAACCCTTACAATTAATTTCTAATTTCTTTGTAAATGATGATTTGTACTAATATTAATTATTAATTTTCTTAAATGGCCATAGATGTATGCAAAAAAATTGGTACTTCAGTTTGAAATAAGAAGTTTCAAACGTGTTTTTTTAAATATTACAAGAAAAAAAGGTTATTGAAAAATGAACGTTTCAGAAACAAATGCAACTTTAGGATTAAAATAAGTGTCACTAACTTATCGAGCTAAAATGTACAAATTATTACTGTTAGTTATAAAATGAGCATTACTTACCAATGAGCCTGACGCGTAGAGGACTGTGGTGCACAAAAGCACGACAGACTTTAACACTCCCATCTGGAGCCTAGTCGAATTCTACCCGACTCGAAAAACGGATAATTATAAAAAATAAATGTGTTGATAGAATTGCCTGTTTATAAAAATTGTGTTAACCCTGTGTGTTATTTAACCGCGCTGAATACAGTGTCTACGCGTGCATGTATGTGTGTATAAACAAGCTGTGCCTGCCGCGGTGTGCAAACGACTTGGAAGCACGACAACGATAGTGAGAGTGAACTGACGGTCACTTTCGATGTGCCGCCGTAGACTCTTGTAGTTGTGCGGCAAAGAGGAGGTGCTCCTCGTCGTATATGTCCGTCCAATGTATACTTGTATTTTTATAGTGTTGTGCAATAGCTTACATAGGTATGCGATGAACGACTGCCACTATAGACGCACTGGCCAACGACAATCGTACTTAATTCCGTAACAGTTATTGTTAGTCGTGTTAAATACCGAAAAGTCATAATGCATACTAGTTGGGATTGTATGCTTCTTCGGGTTTTGTATCAAATCTTCAAGACCATACTTGAATAAAATTGGTACAGTCAGGTTAATCAATAATTAATGAATTCAATATATATGTTTTCCCTAGATTCCAAAACTGTTTGACTACAAATAGTATATCACAATAATGAAGTATTTATTTAAAGTAAAAATCATTTGGTTTTTACCAGAATATTTTAAGTTAACTCATAATAAATCATTGTTAGCCATACATTATATTTGGCATAGTTTCATAACTATTTGGGAGAAATTCAGTATTTGTTAGCAGTCATTAATAATTCAATAATGATTTCACTAGCAATAAACATTTGTTTTTACAAATTTATGGATTTAAATTTTGTCTATAAGAGTAAAATTTTATATATGTTCGATAATGCATTAAATAATTGTGAAAAGAATTCTTATACGATAATTAGGTTGGAATCAATAATGGAAAAATTGTATGTGAAGCTCTTGCAATCTAAATACCTATAGTTTTTTTTTACTTGTGTGTATACGTTTTCATCAAACATTGATATATTTATTGGTAGCAATGTTTTTTTAAATTTTAAATATGTTCAAATACAATTTTTTTCATAAAATGCACTAAAAGAGTCACAGGATTTTTTACTAATTATAATTCTTGAAGGTTATCAAAAGTTTGGTTACGACAATAAAGTATTGTAATGTAAATGTTTTCATTCGTAGGTGTTCACGCGAGAGGATTGCAGTAGATAGATTTTTATGATTAGAAAATAACTATGTAAAGATTCACTAAAGGACAGGGATGGTAAAAATTATTCTTGTGTAAATACCTCTCTTATCCAATTCCTAATTGTAAGAGTCTTCATTATAAGGACTTTACGATGGTAGCAAAAAGTGTTTAGATGCTATGGTCATGTTGAATATTTAAGTTAAATTTTTTATAAAAGACATATGTATAAAAAAATATTGTCGGTCTATACGCTGTTATTACAATTATTTTTAGTAAAATAAATTTACAGATTTGAAGGTTATTTTTCTATAAATACAACAAATCTTATTTGATGTAATTTCGGTAATTTCACTATTATTAATGTCAAATTTATGGCATTTTCCATATATACTAACATTAAAATTATGGGCGTTCCTTTGGGGGATGGTTTGGAGGATAGACCCCTTCCCTATGATGAAACTAAAAATATAATAAAGATAAACTTTTGAGGAGGTAGTAAGAAATTTCTTTACCTAACATGTTCCATGGAGAAAATAATAAATTTTCAACCCTCTCTCACAAATGAAAATTATGTCGTGTAAAAGATTCAAATTCGAGGATTGGTAAAAACTTTCAATTGTATAACCCATAGAAAAAACTGTTCTCTTTTGTTGTACATAAGTTAGTTTTAAATACAAATTGTTTGATAAGACTTTAACGAACGGTTAGATTGGAAAATTAAAAAATACAAATATATTAAACGAATAAAATATATTCGTTTAATTATACATTTTTTGTATATTATCAGAAAATCTATAAAAAAAAATCAAGCAGTGTAGCCTACAGTTAATAATATAAATATTATAATATTATATATTATGCAATACTACCCTATACTCATTAAACATATTATATCGAATTGAAATAAATAAATAATTTCGTTCGCGAAAAATAACAACAAAATATGACATAAAATGGTATTATATAGAATATTTTTTTTATCTCATCAAAAATTAATTTCATATAGAAATTTAGATATACTTAGAAAATAAATTATTTATAGAATTATAACACTTTAATTTGAAAAAATATTTTCTTGAAAATCATGAAAATCTTGAAAAGAAATTATATTTTACTTGGTTGATAGTTGTATAGTAAAAATAGTATCAAGTACTCTATATGAAACATATTTGTTATTTAAATACTAAAATAATACTCCCATCCCAGAAATTAAAAATTCTTTAATATAGATTTAATCGAAAGTTTCCTATTAAAAAAAATTAATATAATTACTCTAAAATGGTCTTAGTTGGCAGTCAAGTATATAGAAGTATAAAGATGGCTACTGTTAATTTTAATTCAAAAGCGTTAGATAATTTGAAAACATAAAATTAGATAATTAGTTAACTCTTTTTCAAAGTAGGCAATATCTTTAATTTTTTTATCAAATTATCTGAAACATAAGAGATAAACTAAATCATATTTACATCAACTTTAATATAATATAATAAATTTAAATGTGTATATATGTATGTATGTATATATCAAAAAATATGATTACGATAACATTATCATAAGAATTACTAATTATGTTATACTTAGTAATTTAAAATTAATATCATTACAAAAATAAAAATGATAGTCATCAAATTACAAATGACATAATAAACCATTATAAAACATTTTTAAGTTGAAAATAGATTGCAATATAAAATTGATACGAACTTAAATATATTTTTTTTATAGAAATATATTTCGTTTATATTTTTATCAGATTATGAATAACCAAGTTGTGCTAAAATTAGAACATTTAAACTTGTTTTTTTTTTAAGTCGTATTAACAAAAGATGTTTTAACTATTAGCAAAATTCCTTAAGCGATTTTGTTGATTAAACTAGACTTAACCTTCAAGCAGTCGTACATTTATTACGCTTAGTTGAGATGTAAATACATATAAGCAAAGTTGAAAATGACTTGCTGTGTTTAAAAATAGATTCATAATATTATTTGAAATGCACACATTTTAATGCAGTTTTCAGTTCCGGCTTGAAATTCTTTATAAGAGTCTCAATTATTTCAATGGCTTCTAAAAATTAATAACAAAATATTATTTGCTTTTAATTTTCACTTTAAAATCACCTTCAGTCCAGAGTATGTCTAGAATAATTTATTTTATTTTAGTTATTAATGCGATAGCCAATGTTTGCAGATAAAAACCAAATAATATCTAGCAAATTTATATTATGGTCATCGAGTATTTATTTAAATTCATTCACTCGTGTTAAAATTGTAAAATATAACCACTTAAAAGCTGTAAACACCTACAAGCTTAAGAGATTCGTCATATAAAAAGAAAAATTACATTTTAAATAGTTTATAGTGTAAATTTATGGTAACCTGATACCTAAATTATGAAAACTTGTTAAAAATTATTTCATATTAACCATACTTATAGACAAAATTTTATTATTAAACAAATAATAATTCAAATTACTTATATTGTTATAACCAAAAATCAATTGACACTTTTAATTACTTATAATAATTTTATAGATAGATATAAGAGATTATATGATAAGACTCAATAAAAGTTAGTAATATATGTTTCAAAGACTATTTGTATACTTAACATGAAAAATAGTTTTCAACGTGGAAAATGATTAGGTAATTTTTCGACGTTATAGCTATGACAGTTTAATAATAAAAATATTATTAAAGAATTTTTAAGAAGATTTCTCTTGGAAAATTAAATTACATTACATCAGCTAAAGCTGAGAATATTCAACGACTTGATTTTATAAAAACAATATTAAACCTTTAAATGTAAACTAACTGTGAAATAAGAAGTTACGAAAATCTCCAAACGCATAACATATTCTATTCTTCTTTTAGGAACAAGCCAAACAATCAATTTTTATTTTACTATAAATTTTTTAAATCAAAAAATTAATTATCATGTGTATAAGCACATTTATTAGAGACATGAATGCTAGTGTACAAAAGTACAGAGTTGTCAACTTACGCAATTGTTAACATATTAAAATCAAGTTTTCAGTAATATAAAATAAAATATTGTTATTAAAAATTACATTTTAGCTACAAATATTACAATTAGTAACACTTTAGAATCTTACAATAGCTAAATATGTAATCGATTTTGTTCGAAATAAAAGTTTAAACGTGTAGCACGGTACTTTTCTAAAATATAATAACAAGTATATTTAAGATTCACTTTAGAAGCTAACATTTTGCATACAAGAGTCTTGCCACTCATAATATGAATATTCTTGAATATAAATGTACTCATGCTTGACTTCGAGATGAACTCACAATAGGACGTTTATAGTAGGTCGTAGAAAGGTGAGCATTATCGAATTTCTCATAAATACATACATTACAGTTCAAAGAGAAAATTTTGTGGATGACGTTTGAGAGATATTCGTACAAATGATTGATTAATTATACTTAGATGGCATATCTAAGGGAGCAAAAACGCAAAATTAACGACCATCATGTAAGTGCCATAACAATTAATAAGTTGTTAAACAATTATGACATCATTAAAACAAATATTCAAGTAAGATTTAAAAATAAATAAACTTGCATGACTATTTGCACTTGTCACAATTTTATAGCAGTTGAAACTATTAGAAAACGTTAGAAAATATAAAAAAAAAATGATTAATAAAATCTAGTTGATTTCATTATTTTAAAAAATAAACATAGATAATGTTGATTACATTTTAAAAATGCATTTATAATATATTATAGCACATCTCGATGAAATCTAATAACAGGTATTGATTCAATTCAATGTTTATTTAAAAATTACATAAATTACTTGATATTACTCAATCGATTTGCAATAAATTTTTGACGGTCAAAATAATATTTCATCGACTATCCTTCAGACACAAACTAAATATTACGCATTTTGAAAACACAAACAGTTAAACATCTCAATGATAATCGTGTTTGTAGAATCATAATAAAGTACGTTAAACACGTGTTGGAATTTTAAGTAGATCTAAGGTAGTGATGCTCTTCGCGGCCCTCGCTTCACTACAAGACACCTCACTCAGTGAGAATAACGATGATGATTCACTCAGAAGTCTG